GAGAGAGTTTTGTCTTTTCTTTTATTTTTTTAATCAATCAAATATTTAAATACATAAATAAAATTGAAAAATGAAAAGGTAAGGGTAAAATCGTCATTATAAAAAAATTTAAAGCAAATTGGATCAAACTTCCAACAAAATGAAAAGTTTGGACCTCTGTTGCTAGTCGAAACTTTTTTGGACCAAAGTGGCAATTTTCAGCTAACCACAGGGACCATTTGTGCAGTTTTGTCTATATATATATATATATATATATATATATATATATATATATATATATATATATATATATATATATACAAATATGAATTTTGGGGAAAAATATAAGTTTACAAAAGAGTTTAATGTTTTGAGAATATTTTGATGATTTAATGTCGTTTTATCATGATTTTATAACACAAAGTTCTTATGTTATACTTGTATTCCCCCCCTTAAAACAGTAGAAATTATCAAAATACGGGGGTATGAACTCACTTGATAGGTGGTGATTTGGACAACGTTTCGTTTTCTGGAAAGGAGTTTATTTGACGAAAAACCGGCTTTAATCGGGCAAGAGTTTCGACTGGAGAAAGTTGTTTTTCTCAGGAATCTCGTGGCTTTGAGGCTTGCTTAGGGTTTTAGACTTGATATTGGGGCTTTAGGGGTTGGAGGAAATTTTAAAGTGGTGAAAGAAGTGAAAAAGTATGGAAAATGGGGTGAAATATGTGAAAAATCTGGAGGGTCTCGCACCATATATATAGGCCGAAGCTCCAGCATGCGAAGGGTGTGTCCGATGGCTACTGAACCGCGACTTCGGTCCAATCAGAAGCTGACACGGGGAGGACACGAGGAAGCCTCGCATGCGCGGTGACGTGGCCGAAGGTGCACCATGCGATTTTTCCCGGTTTTCAACATTTCTCGATTTTCGTGCCCAAAACTTGCGAAATTCATAACTTTCGTATACGAGCTCCGTTTTCGACGTTCTTTATATGAACACGTAGGTAAAATTATACTCTACGACTTTCGTTTAGACTTCGTCGGCTAATTTTGACTTTATTTTTAATATTATTATTTTTAACAGACCGGGACAGGAAATCCGTTAAAAATTCATAACTTCTTCATCCGACGTCCGTTTTTGTCTGTCTTTTTACTGTTGTACTACTATTGACGAGACCTTCAATTCTCGTTTAGGTTGTGTCGGCTAAAAATCACTCGATCTTTATTTCAAGTTTTTAGCTGTATACTGCTATACTGAAACTTAGAAAAATCATAACTTCTTCATATGAATTCAGATTTTGACGTTCTTTTGATGAAAGTTCTCGGTTTAACATAAACTATAACTTTCATTAATATTGTTATGGCTAAAAAGTCTTTTATTGAAATTTTACTTTTTACACTGAACAGTGTTTTGCCGGTTTTGTCGCGGATCTTAGATTGGTCATAACTTCTTTGTTATAACTCGGATTTTAGTGTTCTTTATATTTTTGGAAACCTTGTTACAATCTCTACCACTTTGTTCATTCCAATCGAGATTGTTTGATACTTTATTTTTGAGGGTCAATTATGTAAATATACATAGTATGCTAAAATTTCTCTTTATTATTTTAAAAAGAACTACAAATTTACCTACATTATTACATAGGTTTGAAATAACGGTTTGTTACACACAGCCACACAAGAAGTGTTCACGGCCATACAAGGGTTCACGGCCATAGAACACATGATGTGTTCACGGCCCAACCTTGATCTTATGAAGGGTTTACGGCCAAGGAAGGAGGGTTCACAGCCATATCAAGATCTTATGAAGGGTTCACGGCCACATGAAGGGTTCACGGCTGTGAACTCTTGAAGATCTTGCATTTTGGTGCTTGATTTATGTGTGGAATCAAGTGTTTCTAGGTATGAACAAGTAAGGGATAAGATACTTACTTTATGGAAGCCTTTGGAGTGTTCACGATTTGAAGAAAGTTGAGAGAGAATGGAGGGTGTTCACGGCTAGAGTTGAATAAGTGAAGAAAATGAGCCATTTCATATATATATATATATATATATATATATATATATATATATGTAGGATGTTCACGGCCGTGAACTCCTTTTTGATGATGTTTCCGGCTCGATTGCAACTCTAAGAACTCAAGCTAATACTTCCTAACACACAATCATTAAGTGTACTAGGCTTAGAAACTCTCAAATAGACCCTTAACAAGGCAAAAAGATAACAGAAACAAGTCTGACTTTTGATTGAATTGATTGACTTTACAAGATAGAAATTTCGGGTTGTCACATGAAGGGTGGGAATGAAGGTTTGTTTGGATATTGGGTGTGGATGAACACGATTTTGAAGATGGAACATATATGCAAATTAATTTTTTTATTTGTAAATCTAGATTTGGGTGTAGAGGTGGGTGAGTTCACTGGAGAAGATGAAACAGTTGAGGGAGAGAGAGAGAGAGACCCTTTGCATATTATTTTTTTAAATAAAAGAAAACATCATAAATGGTCCCTGTGGTAGTGAAATGACAAAAATGTCATTCATCTAATGGACAAAACTTAACGGAGTTAACAATAAGGTCCAATCGTCAAAATTTTTGAAAACACATGGACCATCTATGATGTTTTTAAACCATAGGGACTAAACTTCAGATCTGGAGAAACCACATGGTCCACTTATAATGTTATATATATATATATATATATATATATATATATATAGACAAAAATGCAAATTTGGTCCCTGTGGTTAGTCAAAAAATGTGGATGGAGTCCAAAGTCTTTTCAATTTGCACCACTGGTCCAAATCAAAAACATTTTGTGGTTTTGGTCCTTGGAAAAGTTAAAATGACTACTTTGCCCTTTTAATTTCTATTTTGCATTTTTTCTATTTAGTTTAATTCTTTTTTAATTTAAAAAAATCCACCCCCACCTACGGTAGTACGGTACCCCGTCCCCCATCTCTTTCTCTCTCTCTCTCTCTCTCTCACACACACACACACACATACACAATTGTCATAACCCTACCTTCCACCATTGTTTTTGTAGATTTATTGGGTTGAAGAACATATGCATCTTCATCTTCGTCCTAATACACTAAAAACAAGCACACACATACACACACTAAATCATCTTAATCTTCATCCATTTCGTTTGCATCTTTAATCCAGATCCATTGAAAAACTAACAAACATATACTAAATCGACATCTTCTGTTGGGTGCTTTTTCCCTTAAATACAAACCATATTCTCAATCAAACCATCTGTGAATTAAACCCATCACCTCTGGTTGACTAGAAAGCAAAACATATGGAAATCAATCTTGGTTTTGTTTCAAAATCAAAGTTCATTGGATGTAATCCATGAATATAAATCCCGTGAAATATGGAATTAATAAAGAAAAGGAAACATCCAATCCAAACACAACAAGAGCCATTACAAATTTTGTAAATCCACCAATACCTATCAACAATCCAGTGACCATCGCAAGCACCAACCCGGAGTAGACACAATCTAAGCTTGAGATGAAAGGCTAGTAGAGGACGAGGATATTGTTGGTATGTGCTTGGTTGATGGGTTTTCTGATTGGAAGTCCGATAATAAGAACCCAATAAGTAATTAGGTTGATTCATATCTTCCGATCAGATCTGAAATGGATACGAAATCAAGAACATTGAATATGGATTCGTCCTATTCGCCACCAATACTAGATTGAACTCACTGCTCTGATGTTTCTTTGTTGTTGTATGTGTTTGAGGATGAGAGTGACGAAGATAATGGTGGAGATATTGGCGTCAGTGCTAAGGAGACAAGTGATGGGTGCTTGATGATGATGATGGGTGATGGCAGAGAAGAAAGAATGAGGTGGTTCCGATGGAAAATTGGGTTTCTTCTTCTACATGTGGGGAGATGGAACTACTTTTGAAATTAGGAAGGGAAGATGGAACTGAAATATTGAAACCTGATTGGATTCAACCTTTGAAAATGGAGCTAGAGTTTAATTTTGATATCATCCTCTAAGATATATGTATGGAATGTTTAGTTTGCAGGTGAATGTGAGGAAGAAGAAGATGGAAGAGAAAGTCAAAGAGAAAGAAAGAGAATTAGAGAGAGAAAGTCAAAGATAGAGAGAGGGATAGATAATAGGAGGGTACGTTAGAGGGGTAGTGTGGGGGTTTGATAATTCTTTTTTATTTTTGAATTATAATAATAGTAAAAAAACATTAAAAATGTAAAAATAAAATTAAAGGGCAAAGTAGTCATTTTAACTTTATCAGGGACCGAAACCACAAAATGTTTCCGATTTTGGACCATCCATACAAGTCGAAATGATTTTGGACCTTATCCATATTTTTTTGCTAACCACAGAGACCAAATTTACACAAGTTTTACGTAATCATAAGTTTCACATCAGTTTAAATACATCAAAAATTAACATGAAGTATAATATCAAAACAAAATATTATTTTAAATGAATACAAATACATTAAATTGCTTCATAAATGTTTTTTTTATTTAGTTTAAGAGAAGTCTAAATAAATGTGAAAATACCATAAATTGGTTATGTAACATATCTCATTTTCATGTGTTTTTATTCAATTTAACCATTTCAATCAGGGTTTAATAGTTCAATTTAAACGGTTTACCGAGATTTTGTAAAAACCAGCCGTTCATTCCGATTAAGAAATAAGTATAAACTTGATGCTAGTGGAAGTGCTCTCTCGTTCAAACCTTTTTTGAAAACATTGTTTAAAGGACCAAAATAGAGGTTGGGGAAGTGTAGGGAATTAAGTGGAAACTTCAGCAAAGACTCTGCAGCACGTAACGACGTCACCTTACATCAATGACGAAGAAAAGATCAACAAACTACAGAAGGTTTACGAAGGCAATAAGTACGCGTCCCGCCGTATCTTAATTTTCTTTCCTATTTTTAAACGCGGCTTTCGTCAACTTAATAAATTATATTCCTCAACCCCCACCTCCTATATATTTCCTATGCATATATATAGACATCGATCCACGTTCTCCTAAAACACATAACAAGAACACTTGTATATTTCTCAAAGCTCACAAACACAAAACAACTCTTATACCATCATGTCTTCTCAAATGTTCTTGTCTTTGGTTCTCTTCTTTGCTTCTTCTCTCCTCCTTCAAGGAACTTTAGGTGAGATCGTATGTGAGGATTTACCAACGGAAGTTTGCTCCTTTTCAATTGCATCATCCGGGAAACGGTGTTTGTTGGAGAACTTCGAGAACAACAATGGAGAGACGGAATATCAATGCAGAACATCGGAAGTGGTGGTGGAGAGGATGTCGGAGTATATCGAGACAGATGAATGTGTTAAGGTTTGTGGTGTTGATCGGAACTCAGTCGGAATCTCTTCTGACACCTTGCTTGAGGCACAATCCGTCTCCAAAATATGCTCCGCCGCATGCTACCAAAACTGCCCCAACATCGTTGATCTTTATGTCAACCTGGCTGCCGGAGAAGGTAAATGATCGATCTTATAATCATCTTTATGAAGAAGTGAATTACAATTAATGTTTCAATTAGTGTAAGGAAGATGATGCTCAAGTTTGAAACTTTATTTATAATTATTACATTCTTAATGCATGCAGAGACAGAGACATATATATTACAATTAATATATTGTTCTATATGTTTCTCGGGTTATTGAAACAAAATCAACTTTAATATATTGTTCTTGCTTGAAAATTACGAAAAGTTGCAGATATGTTACCAAGTCAACATCTGTAGCTACCTTTGACGAGGTCATATTAAGTTATTTACTACCATGACCAAAAAGTCAGAAAATGAAAATGTTATTTTTGTCATTTTAACGTGTGTAATTAATAAATTAAATATTTATATAACATTTTGTAGGGGTGTTTTTGCCGGACTTATGCGAGAAGCAAAGAAGCAACCCTCGTCGTGCCATGGTTGAGCTTTTGAGCTCTGGTGCTGCCGCCGCTCCCATGGCTAGTGAAAACCTCGTTGGTGCTGCCGCTCCTGTTTCTATATAAACCGAGTCATCAATATATAGATGTTTGATTTTGGAGGGGTTTTTTTTTTTTTTTTTTTTTTTTTTTAAATTGAAATTTGTTGTAGAGGAGATGGAGGAATAATGGCTGGATAGATGTAGAGAAAGTATTTTGAGTTATATACATGGGAGTCTCTTTCTTTTGAATATGTTTATCATATCATCAATAAAATATACATCATGTTGATGTTACATATATTTCATATAACAATTATCTTTAAACTATATCTTCATATGCTTTGGTTTGTAAGTAGAAAAGAAAAGAAAATAATTGATAAATTTTTGTGTCACAAATGGTTGATTTTTTTATTAATATGTCAAGATTGAGACTTCAGAAAAATAATCATAAAATTTCGTTATAAGGTCTTTTTAACAAAACTCTTTTGTAAATTATATTTAGGTAAAAGATAAACATTTAGCGGTGGAGACATAATTTGGACAAGAGTACAAATATAGTCGAAATTATAAGGGAAAAATGACTTTTGAGGGTAACTAACTGTTGTGTTTGTTTTTATTTGTTCCTTTAATTTCCTTTTTTTTTGTACTCAATATACCATCGAACTTGTTGTTTGTGTTCACCATAACCCTTTTGACCGGCTTCTGACCTGTGATAGCAGTCAAAGGGTTATGGTGAATACAAATAACAAGTTCGGTGGTATATTGAGTACAAAAAAAAGGGACCAAATGAGAACAAACTCAACAGTTGGTTACCCTCCTGAGTCATTTTCCCCGAAAGTTAAATGAAATTAAAGTTGCAAAATTATCAAAGACTGCAACATTCTTTGGCCATAACGTATATGAAGAGCGTTTCGGAGGGGTAACTTCGTTAAAACATGGTATATGCTATACTTATTGTGGTTAGCTGTCAACACCTCTCTAGCATTAACGTTTACATCAAGGTATATTATGATGATGTGTCTGTAAAAGCTGCATGATATTGTACATATTGATGTTGTATCTTATCCCATGAATTCGATCTTAAAACTAAATAAACTCAAAAATCACATTCTACTCGTTTGTAGACTTGTCTAGAATCCATGATACGATAAATCATTTGATTGAAAATGTAAATGTAGTCATGAAATGCACCTGCTTAGTCAAGATTCCCCTAATAAATATTCAAGTGCATTACAAAGTTGTACATGTATGAATAATGTTCTTTCGTGGGTTATGTTTTGAATAGAAGCAATAATGAATCTCATAAAGTCATTAATATAAGCAGGAGATGACGTGACATTTTTTTGTAAATGAGTAAAGGGAAAATGAATCAGAAGGGTAACCAACTGTTGCATTTGTTCTCATTTGGTCCCTTTCTTTTTTTTGTACTCAATATATCATTGAACTTGTTGTTTGCGTTCACCATAACTCTTTGACCGGTTATCAGAGGTCAAAAGACGCTCAAAAGGGTTATGATGAACACAAACAACAAGTTCGATGTTATATATTGAGTACAAAAAAAAAGGGTCAAACGAAAACAAACGCAACAGTTAGTTACCCTGAAGAGTCATTTTCCCAAATTATAAATATATACAAACTGTAACTTACATTTTTCTCTCACAAATTTACTGTAGCTAAAAGTACTACACAAAATGCACAGTGTACAAGGCTGAATTACGGTTCAAATATGTTGTGCCAGTTGTGGCCACACATCTTTCATCAATTGTTTCGAATTGAACTTACAGAAATGGTCCTTACAGTTTTATATTCTATTTATAAGTTATCTAACTTGCCCTTTTTCTTTCTTTTTGTTTCACTTTTTACCTTTACAACCCACTTAACTTTCCATTTGCGGGTCACGGGTTGGTGGGTTGGCGGGTCATAATATATTGACCCAACCCAACCCATATAATATATGGGTTGGTGGGTTGGCGGGTCATGGGTTGACGGGTTGAAAACATCAACCCAACCCAACCCATATAACCCGTATAAGTATATGGGTTTGTGGGTCAGTGGGTCGAACCCAACCCGTATAACCCATTTAATAAGCAACACATTTTAAAATTAAATTAAAAAATACAAATAAAATAAAGTCATAAAGTCTTAAATATTCAACATAAAGTCATAAACATAAAATCATAAACAGGAGTAACGACGACGAGTGGTGTACGACAACTAGAGGACAAGAAGACGAGTGGTGAGCGTGCGACACTGCGACAGTCGATGACTCAATCGACGGAGACAGGAGACATGGAGTTGTGAGTTTGGAGACTGAAGACTGAATTTTTTTTTGATTAGGGGCTTCTTAGGGGCTAGGGCACGCTAAATCGACTCGAAGATGTTTTGCAGTTTCGGAATACGGAAAACGATTAAACGATAAAGAAATATTCAAAACTGATAAATAATTAACTATATTATTTAAACATAATATATATATATATATATATATATATATATATATATAATATATATATATATATATATATATATATATATAATCGGATTGGCGGGTCGACCCGCGAACCCAAAAAGGTAACCCAACCCAACCCATGAAATAAATGGGTTGGCGGGTTGGTGGGTTGGCGGGTCAACAATCTCAACCCAAACCCGTTTATTTTCGTGTTGGGTCAGTATCGCGTTACGGGTTGGATCGAGGATTGCCACACCTACTTATAATCCATAAGTTATTACCCCTTCTTCACAATAGATACCAGTTTTTATTTTGTTTCTTGCCATTTTCCGCATTGTAATTTTTTTTCAATCTTTTATACTGAAAATCTACATTTTTGTAAATACACGTTGCAAGATCGGTATATAAAATGGTACCGGCCTACATATTTTGCTAGAAATTAATACAACGATACATACATTTTATCAATACAATTTTTAAATTAAATTAAAAAACGGATTGGACAGCAAGAAACTAGATAAAAATCATAAAAAAATAGTCCCTAAACTCTTCTTAACTTTACTTATAATGCACATTATAATACTTCCTTTTACATTTATGGCGACTACATTTTTATGGATTATTCAGAATCAATCCAACTTAAAAAAATAGTCTCTAAACTCTTCTCAGCTTTTAATAATTCATACAACTTTCATTTCTTTTAAACTTTTAGTGTTTTTTAAAGTTGTGATATACACAAGAAAAACACATGTAAGAACCCGCGGCAAAGCGCGGGATCAAATAATAGTTCAAAACAGTATTTAAACAAAGTTACTTATGTTGCATTTAGCGATGGAGACATAATGTATTTTTCTATCATTTTTCATTTTTGGAAACGGTGTTGGTGGTAGGCAGGGCCGGTTCAAGCTAATTTGAGGCCCATGACAAAAGAAAAAAACGAGGTCCTAATTGCATATGATAATACAATGATCTAGGTGAAGACTAGTACAGGAGCACCTATTATTAAATTAAAATTATATATATTACAAAAAAATTTACTGTGTTTAAAGGGTGTGGGATAAATATTAAAAGTTAAAATCAATATAATTGCTAAGTTGTGCAAAAAACATAAAAATTACCGAACAACAAAACCATTTTGAAAAACCATTTGTTTGGTTTTTTTGTTTAGAATGACTGTTCTTTTAGGTTAGGCGTGATCTTTGTTTATATAAAAACCCAAAAATTACCGAACCTGAATATCCCAATGACGTTCTTTCATACATACATTTAAGTGATTAAGAATATTATAAATTAAAATAAATTGTATGTCTTATAGTGTTCATTGACATCCACGATAATAAGGATACGTTTATGTTGTATATTAAACTAATATATCACTTTGTTTGATTTAAAGTTAAAAATTGTTAAATTAAAAGTTATTAGTATTGTATATATTTTTTAAATTAGATTTTTTTTAAAAATGAAATAAAAAACATACTTGATATTTTGAAACCGGATGGGTAGATCTATTGTTTGAAAGGAAGAGATGATATATATATATATATATATATATATATATATATATATATATATATATATATATATATATATATATATATATATATAGATATATATATATATATATATATATCAAAATTAATAAATATATCACAATTCATATTTTTTGTACTTTTTAAACATAGATTCATGAATATATTCATGTTAAAAAAAACGATATTTCAGTTCAGATTCATATTGTGAACCTGTTCAGATTCAAATTGTAAACCTATTCAGATTCACATTGTGAACCTTCTCAGATTCACAGTGTGCATAATAATAAATCAGATTCACAGTGTGAATCTGAACTGATCCGAGCTTTTTCACATTGTGAATGTTAAAATTTGAAATATTTACAGTTTAGATTCACAGTGTGAATCTATACTGATCGAGGTTTTTTTTAATCGGTGTTGATGTTTATTAATATAGTACAAAAAATTAATATTTTTTGTATAATTAGTTTTTTTTTTTTATAAAAATAAACTTAAATATTGAAAAAACTAAGAAAATTAAGTGGGTTTTTTTCGAAAAAAAAAGTTCGTTTTTTATATATAATCATGGATCTCTATGGAAAGAGGACGGAAAATCGTGAACAACGGTATATTTGGTTTTTTTTCGATAAAAAACTTGGCCTAAAAAAAATTTTAAATGAAAAAAAGGAAGTGAGTTTTGTTATAATCCGGTACATGTGAATCCATTATAAAAGTTTACAACCCTTCCTTTTGCCGTTGATCGCTTTAAATTCCGGCGCTTTGGATTCGTTCTTTGGTTCGTTGATTAATAATGGTTCTCTGTTATAATCCGGTACATGTGAACTTTTTATGAATTTTCAGCGATTTTATGTTAAAAGCTGCGATTTTTTGATAAAAAAATTCAAAAAAAAGTTTTGTGATCTCTAAGTATTTTTTTTATGCATTTTTATGATTTTTAGGGTTTTTTTGTTTTCCATAGAACCTAAACCTATATATATTATATTATATATATATATATATATATATATATATATTATATATATATATGTCAAAAGAAAAAAAAAAGGAAAAATAACAAAATTGATATCTTGTAACTTAATGGCAGGTCTATTGCCATTGTCTGAAAAGAGAGAGCCCGATATGGGCCATATGGCTCAACTTTAAAAGAA